CGACATTTCCTGTTTAGTTCTTCATTTCTGTGATTTGTATATACACTGTTAAATTGTACAGGTTGATTTGTAGGTGCCTTGCCTTAGCCTCGTCACTATTTCGTCGAGGTTAGGCTCGACACTTACCAGTACATGGGGTCGGTTGTACTGATACTGCACTCTACACTTTCTATGTAGATTTTAATACCGGTTCGGGTTGATCGGGATTTTTGCTATTGGTCCATTGTCCGGAGACTTAAGGTAGATCTGTCGGCGTTCACAGACCTTGAAGTCCCCATCTATCTTTTCTGTTCTACTGTTTCTTTCATTCAGACAGTTGTATTTCTTCAGACTATTACTTGTAGTAAATTCTAGAATGCTCGTGAATTGTGACTCCTGATTCGGGTGGTAGTAATGAATACGGTATTATGATATTCCGCACTTATTATATTTCATCTTAGTTAATTATTGTTAATTACTGAATGAAAATAAGGAATTGGTTTAATGATTCTCTAACGTTGGCTTGCCTAGCAAGTGAAATGTTAGGCGCCATCACGGTCCCGTTGGTGGAAAATTTTGGGTCGTAACAGGATATGTGTTGGTGATCCCAACAATAGGAGAGAAAATGAGCAGCTGAAAAAGGAATGCATGTAATGAATTATTACAAGTACATCTAGATCCTCGTACGAGAAAATGTGAATTTGAAGTTCAAGTGATAATTCATTTGCAAAATATTGGCAGGCGTATTTGCTGACCCAAAGCTAAATGTCATATTCAGCTGCAAATGCTCCAAATAAAGTAAAGTTCATAATGAATAGAGTGCATGCATGAAGCATAATAGACTAATTGGTTCCAAAGATAGAACTCCTTGAAGAAGGAGAGAAGCAAATGTTCAAGATGGTCGTAACAAGGATGCAAGTGCTCTAGAAGAGCACCACGATATAACACTTCATAAGACCTCATGGGAGAGGCTCAGGTACCTGTAAAATAATGAGATAAAGATATCTCAATAAGTTATGTCTTTATTGGGTAATAATAGAACCGATATAAAATGATCGTCGACGATATTGTTAATATAATGTAGCGCTCAATATTATTAATATTGACGAGGATCTTGAGCTCAAATCTGTCATGAAATTTGGACAGATAAATAATTAGCCAAATGAAAAATACGCAATGAAAATTGACTTCACTTGAAAAATGTGAAGTTGGACGGATAATCCCAATACCTGAATGTATAAAGCAAGTGGAAAAAAAATCAAGTCGATAGACATAAACACGACTTGTGTCACAAGAAGATTTTAAATATCCTGGCATTGATTATATAGAGACATGTTCTCCTATGGTGGATGTAGTCATTTCAGGTTTTAATCTGGCAATACATGAAAAACTTGATATGCATATAATGAAAATCATTGAAGGATTTTAATTGTTCTGAATCATATTAAGGTTTTCAAGAAATTTATTAAATAAAATTTCAAAAATCCTTTTACAGATTAAAACAATCAGGGCGCATGTGGTATAATTGCCTGAGTGAGTACATGTTGAAAGAAAGGTACAAGAATGATTTAATTTGTCCTTGTGTCTTTATAAAAAGATCTGGATCTGAATTTGTTATAATCGATGTGTATGTTGATGATTTAAATATCATTGGAACTCGTGGGGAGCTTCCTAAAGCAGTAGACTGTTTAAGAAAGAATTTGAAATGAAAGATCTTGAAAAGATAAAATTTTGTCTTGGTCTACAAATTGAGTATATGAAAGATGGAATTTTTGTCCATCAATCAACATACGCTGAAAAGATTTTAAAGCGATTCTATATGGATAAAGCACATCCATCAAGTACCCCGATGGTTCTGAGATCACTTAATATAAATAAAGATCCATTTCGACCTCATGAAAATAATGAAGAGCTTCTTTGTCCCGAAGTACCATATCTTAGTGCAATTGGTGCACTAATGTATCTTGCTAACACTACAAGATTGGGATGCGAAGGCTCAGGGATGTGAATTGATGCTCTTATCAGGGGGAGTTAATACGTGTTGTACTTTTTTTTTCCTTACAAGGTTTTGTCCCACAGGGTTTTTCTTGCAATGTTTTTAACGAGGCAACCAAAAGACGTATTTCTAAACATGTGTACTCTTTTTCCTTCATTGAAATTTTTTTTCCCATAGGGTTTTTTCCTAATAAGGTTTTAACTAGGCACATTATCTATGGACATCCAAGGGGGAGTGTTATAAGAAAATTAAATTATGGTAGATGTCTACTCTTCTCAATTATCTCCATAACTCCCAATACTCTAATAATTATGGAGTTATGATTGTAACTCCATAACCTCCTCCATGATCTTCCTCTCAAATGCTTAATGACATGTTCAATGACATATTTTGCAATATTGATTATTCACTTTTCATGCCTATATAAAGGCCTTGTAATAGATAGGAAAATGCACACAATTGAAGAAGAAAATCTCTTCCTTCTCTCTATCTCCATTTCTTGTTCATATTTTACTAAATTATTTTTATTTCATAACGACAATTCTTGTTCATGTTTTACTAAATTACTTTTATTTCATAACAAATATGAGCTATTTCGGGTAAGAAAACAAAATATGGGCTTAATGAGTAGGGAAAGCGTCCGATGTGTTTTTCCTTGTAATTTTTCCAACATTTAAAGCATGATACTGATTTCAATTTTTTTTTTTTTTTTTTTTT